TTGACAATACGGCCTAATCTAAACAACCTTCAATTACATATAAGGTGTGAAAAATCTGCTTTTAAATTCCATTTAATATAAATATAATGCATTTAGATCAAGCAAAAAATACCCAAATGAAGACAATATTACAAACCTATGTATTACTTAATATTGGCCAATTATTGATAAGTGTATTAGCATGCCAGGCATTTGTCAAGGCTAGAATAGTACAGCACACATTATTGCACGAACAGTGATTAAAAGCATTGACCTACGTGAAATTGTGTTATTTATCTACACAGCACCCCTGACGGGCAATGCGTTTAGTCAATCGACATTCGAAAGGCTTTAATCCCGACCAGGAAGCACTCTTTATTTTGCTTCTCAATCCACTCGTATACGGCACACATCACTGTCACTAGCAAATTGCTTTCTCACAAGTGATTCTTCGATTGAGGAAACATCATGGAAGTCACAAGATAACAGGTCCGGCGAGTGGTGAGGGGGGGCTGGTATAGTCTTCTCTGGATGCTCGAGAATTTTATTCAGAGTTTAATGTATTACAAAAAGATGATTTAAAAGGTATGTAAAGTAAATGGCGGTTAACCTATTGCTATGAAAACAGGTACTCTCTATAAAAAAACATGTACTCTTAACTTAAAATCCATCCTTTGCTGTAACACTAATCATCTCATCAGGCTACAGAGTATGACAACTGCTCATGCTCATACTAGCAGTATTGTCCACTAAGACACTTGACAATTCCAGTAAGAGGATCCGCAAGAGTGCTTGTTGGTTTATAAGCCCCATTAAAGTACATGTTCCATTTTGATGGCAGCATTACAGAAAGGAAAGCTTACATACAAAGCCATGCTCATTCAGCATCCAAACAAAAGTAGTTATTTATTGACGCTGCCTCTGCAATGGATACTTACACTGTGACAGGCTATATCACATGCAATGAGAACGTGCTTCTCGTTTAAAATATGCCTTCAGGATCTTTTTAGACACCATATTTTCATTTAATGGTGGCTGAGGGTTGGCCTGCTGCAAGTAGGGCCACTCCATTGCGGCCGTTGCTGACGGTATGCATGGGGGGACGCCTTAGCGTGCACATAGCCTGGCACAAGCACCATGGTGATATCACCGCCACTTCGTGGCGAATGTCAGTTGTTGTTGGGGGGACACTGGAGGCTCCCGCCGACATGGCAAGCACTCACAGATGTCCTCTGCAGCGATTCAGTGGTGATGGGTCCTGGTGACCCTTTAGGATGCTCCCATAACTGTTGTTTTTACACTTTCGGCTCATTCCCACCACGGGATGACTATTTTCATGCATTTTTAGTGCTAGTTGAGGCTGCACCTGCAGCCGACTTGGCATCCACCTTAACCAGTCATGCACAGATACACTTCACTTTCCCAGTGTCTTCTCACCTTCAAGACAGAGGATATAAACCTGCCTGACGTGGCCAACAACACCAAACACCGCGCACCTGGGCGTAGGACATCCTCAACAGCACCCCACAATCAGCACAGGAACCCATGTGCTTATGCTGAGGAACATGGGCCTGTGAGCCCTGCCTTTGGGCCTACTGTGCCAGTAGGCCCAAAGGCACCCGTAACCAACAGTACTGCCGACAGTGAGCAGTGGGCCTTGGCACATCCAACGCTGATCGAAATATTGGACTTTCTCAGAGCTCTCGACTTTAAACCTCTCCCAGTATGGAAGTAAATACATATCTGGGGAGAGGGCCCCAAAAATAAAATAAAAACGATGACATGGGTGGGTGTAAGTGTCACGGGAGGCAGCTTCCGTAACGGGCAAACGTGTGAAATCGTGGTACTGTAGTTTCTGAAAATTAAAACATTGAGAATAATATTTAAGACAAATTAATACAAAACACATGTATCATTTAATCATCACTTTGGTAAGATCTCCTCATTAGAAGTGCCTTAAAAATCTTGCATACGTTCTTTGTGCAAACTGTACACTGTTGTGATTAATTACAAATAATGTATTTTAACCCATTGTGTGGAAAATGGTCAATCTCACCATGTCCATCAAAATCATTGCCATTTGGTAAACATTTCACACAGAGGGATTAACTGCCACTGCTCTGTGCCAACTCCCAAAGGGCCTTGTACACTGTTAGTTTTAAGCCCCACAGTGCTGATAACCCTCATTATCTAAGACAGCTAATGAACACATCGCTGACAGCAGTCACTAATGGAAACAGCTTGCTCGACATTTCATAAATTTCATAACAGCATAACTATTATTTTGTCTGGATTTGCTATCATCACCAATAATGCAAATAGTACAACCCTCTTTATACATGGTCTGATGGCGCTGGACTTTTAACACCATCGGTCTTCACAGAGTAGTTTGTGCTACGCAAATACTTGGTATGGGGACATTACGTGAACACCGATAATCTTTCATAATCAACGATTTTTGGGTTTAGATCGCGTTTATTTATAAATGTGTCGTAACCCTCCACCACCCGACACGGCCAATCAGTAAAAATGTGTCACGTTGACACAGACAAATAGTTCACTGCTTTAGCCCACCGGTGTGTTGAAGCAACAACATTTACAATTTGAGTACGACGTTTCGCTGGTAATTGCAACCAGCATCATCGGGCAATTCGCCAGAATGGTGAGGCTCTCCTGTGTCTCCCGTTCTTATATAGAGCAGCAGCAGGGTGACGTCATCATTAACTCATTAACTCATCAGGTGCAAAGATTCAAGGGGGGGAGTGATTGTAATTATATACTAGATTAGTAATGAGGCTATTGTTACGACACAGGAGAGCCTCACCATTCTGGCGAATTGCCCGATGATGCTGGTTGCAATTACCAGCGAAACGTCGTACTCAAATTGTAAATGTTGTTGCTTCAACACACCGGTGGGCTAAAGCAGTGAACTAATTGTCTTTGTCAACGTGACACATTTTTACTGATTGGCCGTGTCGGGTGGTGGAGGGTTACGACACATTTATAAATAAACGCGATCTAAACCCAAAAATCGTTGATTATGAATAACATTGGTCGCGAAAGCCTACGTGTTAAACCGATAATCTTCTGGCCCCCCGTAGTGCTGAATGCAAAGGACTCGTCGTCCAAGGGTCGACAACCTGCGGCTCCAGAGCCACAAGCGCCTCTTTAAGGACTGCTGCTTCGTGACGTTATTTATTAAGGACCAACGTCTTGTATTCACCACTTGTATTGCGGCTCTTACAATAAAGTTTGTTTTTTACCAAATTCGAAAAAAAATTGCCTCTTCTTGTTATTTTGGTTGGCGACCCCTGAACCAAGGCTACAACTGAGATTAACTGGGGTAGATGTACAAGTCAATGCTTTGTAAATCGTCAATGCACTTACCTCGACAAGTATGGTTGTCGAATAGTCAGAAGACCCTTCACAAATACATGAGGTGTTCTTGGTTCTGAATGTGCATGCTGAAATGGGGCTGGTGAGCCAAGTGTTTTAAGGTGGTAATGCTTCAGGCCCTTCTAAACTATATAGGTATAAATGTTAGTAGTTTCGTGCGTGTGTCACAGTAACACTCTTGCTTTCCGGCCTGTTGATTGGCCAAAACTACATTACCAATCAGGAATGTTAACACACAAATAATAAGTGGTTTTATATTTAAATCATATTTTAAAGTTTAATTAAAATAAAATATATTTAAAACATATTTTAAAGTTTATTTACAATTTAATTTTAAAAAATATCTGCTAAAACCCACGGAGAGAAAAACCATTATCAACCACAGGTGATTGCATCCCATCATTTCACAATTTTACAAATAAAATGTAACCCTATTCCATTGATTTCAATAGAAATGTCAATCATTGTACAAAAACAGTTGCAGTGATTTTATAATGTTGTCTTGTTTTTTTATGTTTTAAAGTATAAGTCCATGCTAAACTGTTAGTATAGTCCCCCCACTGAGTGAGTGGTACATTCCAAACAGGTCAATATCTACGGTGAGCAATATGGATCAAAACAGATACCGGTAACGCGATTTATTATTACAGATGTTAATTTGGCATCATTGGACTGACGTACATCACAATCAGAATATTTATACTGCAGGAGGAATTTTTGTTTGTATGTTCACCACAAGTATGTATAGTTAATGCAAACTTGATTCCTTGCAAAAGATTTATGTTTGGTGTTTTAACATCTTAACACCTCTTGTATTGCCAGAAAGGGTAAACCTATTCTTATAGGTGGAATCCGATAAGCTATAAAGTCCAGTAGAGGCACGGGGTAAGAACGTTACAACATCAAACAATACAAAAACATTATAGTAGTAGAAGTACAAGGAAGGTAAACATCACCCAAACATGTACACAGTATGTTTAATACGTACACTTTCACGTCCAATATCATCCATAATACAGGTTTTTTGGGTTAGAACGCATAAATATTTACATGATCTAACCCAAAACCCCTAATAATAAGTATTTTTATACATTTTTTTTACTCTGAAAGTCCATAATACAGGTTTTTTTTTTGGTTAATCGAGCACGCAAATATTGTATCCTGTACTCCATCTGTACCATGCTGTGGGAAAGGGCGTATGAGTATTTGCAATGTTGACACACAGGTCCTATTTTTGTACAACATTAATGGTTGACACCTATCCAATGTCTTTTATTTCACCATATACAATTTATGACCGATGTGAATTTCTTTAAGGGCAGACACTTATTTTCTCGCAATACCCCCACCATTTATTGTATACAGCCATGGTGAGGGTATGCTACAACATTACATACACGTACATCGGAGCTGTATAGTGTGATGTGTAATGTTATGAACAACCTCATTAATTGGGTCACGGTAACGCCCCCCCCCCCCCCACCAGCGAGTACAGGTACATTACAAATTAGTGGACACACAAGACATTCGCATGGTCATCTAGAGCACAGGTCACTTGTGTTTATTGAAGAATAAAGACCCATGTTGCATTGATATTCCTGCGAAAGACAGCCCGATGAACTCACCTCTCTTGTTTCAGGGCATATTCCAGCATTTTTATTCTCCTCACCAAGTCCTTTTTCAGGTTTTCCTGTCCCTTCCGCTCTCCTTGTAAGAACGCTATGCGTGCCTAGATGCACAAAAATACGCACAACACACACAAAAGTAGATAAATGCACACCTACGCACACACCCATACACGTACAAAACATGTGTACGCATCCAGTCAAGCCCACAAAGCACATTTAAAATACATAAAAAAAATTTATCCAATCATTTATAATAAAATTTAAATTATTTTACAATTGAGATTGTTGAATATACATTTAGATATACACTGAGAGTGCAGCAGCATACCACAGCAAAAACAAATTAGACGAGTTAGGCAAGCAATAACTCACACAAAGACAATTTGAGAGCAGCATTAGAAGATATTTTCCAACATATGGATTCAAGAACCAAGGCATATGACACATTGTCATTATCACAGCCAATGAAAATGTATTGCAGGTAACGATTTAATCATTCACTAAGAAGGTGCAAAGTCGGACTCGGGATAAATATTATCAAAACCAAAGTCATGGACAAGGTTGCTAAACAAGCAAAGAGTTATGTCAGAAGCAATACAACTGAAAAAATAAATTAAAGTATATATATAGGATAACTACTGAAACTGGATTAAGATCAAAATTATGGAAATTAAAGCTTGTGCCCAAATGAAACTGATCCGAAGGTACCACATCACATATTGACACTAAATACAGTCATATGTAACAATGGCAGATACAATCAAGTGGTCGCTGAATACAATGCTGAAATTTAAGGTTCATGTATGTTATGGGCAAGCATCGCAAAAGTAAATAGAAATGAAGAGGCTGTGTCGGAAAGTGTAAAAACAACTTCACTACATTGCCTTATATCAGAAATATGCTTAATAATTGATTCTATTGTCGGGAAAATGTTAATGGTGAATGCAGAGAGTTAATTTGACCGAGCACTGTAGTTGCTGTGATTACGTTATGTACCAGGAATGTCGACGGTTTCTCAGGGAGGTATGCCAACCAGCTTATCAGGCAATCTTTAGTTATTCACCTTTCATAGAGCAAGTCAACGACCGAGTACTGAATTCCAAGAAAGCCTGAACTACCCTTTTCTATCAATATTACTTCTCACTTAAACTTAACTGTCTTCATCATTAATGTACATACACAACGGCTGTGGGGTCATGTGATAGACTGCTTCTGGAAGCAGAACACTGCATGTTTCTTCTCTGCAGTGACTGGGGCCACAGGCAAGATGACCTGGGCGGATTACCCCCATCTACTCGGGCGTCAAAAGTGACGAGTACATCATCTTCCATGTGTGCACGGCATTCGAGATTTACAACCCCAGAGAAAGTTGTCTTCGTGTGTTTAGTCAAATTTCGAGAACAAAAGATTCGGGATGTTCCGCATGTCAGAGGGCACACCAAAAAAAAATCCAAAAACGCATTGGAGAGTTATACAAACACAAGGACGAACCCCAACACATTAAATAAAAGATTAATTTAAATCCGATATAATCACTGAGACCTTTCTTGCCTTGCACATGGTATGTTCGAAGAGATTAGTATCTGTACAGCCCAATTGGTAATAAGTACCTCATTCCTTTTATATGTCAATACACAACCCACACATTCCATCCTTTCATTACACAAACACCTATATCAATATAAACAATAGTTATGTATAAGTCAGTCATATGATTACAGCATTTACTTTACTAAGTTTCATCATATAAGAGCTCATTTTGACCAGAATGTGTCAAGGTCCTGTGGTATTGGCAAAGTGATGTGTAAACCATTAACCTAGGCCAACAAACCCAAGACGTTGTGGTGACATGAACGGAAAGAGGTGGGATCTAGTGATAGGTTTTAACCTTTTCAACTGGTACAAAAACTGACACCTTTATACAAGGCATCATGTTTGCAATAACCACAACACAAGCAGTCAAAATGCAAACAAAAAGAAACAACTCTAGTAATGATAATGATATGCACCGTCTTTGAAGTTGATTGGTCCACACCCGAGACAGCTTTTCTTAGAGCCTAGTCTCCATTGGTGTCGCCTTTTGGCGTCATCTGGTCCAACACCAATGTAGAGACTAGGCTCTAAGAAAAGCTGTCTTGGGTGTGGACCAATCAAATTCAAGGACAGTGCATAGCATTATCATTACTAGAGTTGATCCTTTTTGTTTGCATTTTTACTGCTTGTGTTGTGGTTATTGCAAACATGATGCCTTGTATAAAGGTGTCAGTTTTTGTACCAGTTGAAAGGGTAAAAAACTATCACTATATTTTGCCACTGGTAAAGAAGGTCTCATAGAGGTGGGATCACCAAGAAAAGGGGCAAGGCTAAAGAGGAAAGAGGTGACGTCAACGAAAGAGGCAGCAGCTATGCGGTGCATGTCAATAGATCCGTCACAGCATTTATTGCAATCGTGTTCGTCTTACAGGGGCCAGTGCAGGGGCAACAGCAGCCAGAAAAATAGTGACCTTTAGCCTTGAATTTGACCCATAGACCAATTATGACTTTAAATTTATGAAAAACCAAGGATGCATGCTAATTGCAAACAGTGATTCCCGGCCTGCTGGATTTGAAGTGTTATTGAAAGCCGTAATGCAAAGTATGAAAGGTAACAGCCATACAAATTATAATATGCATGGTGAGTGTGAATTGCGTCAAGTGAGTGCATCCTGAGGAGTGACTGTTGAATGGTGAGAGGTGGCATATGCCTGGTGAGTGTGAACTGTCTGCTGAGGGCCAAGTGAGTAGTGGAGTGTCTGATAAAACGTCAGGCGAGTATTTGGAGTGTGTGAGGTGTCGGGTGATAAGTAACTCATTCAGTTGACTGGTGAGCGAGTGTCTGGTAAGCGGTGAGGGTCAGGTGTACGTTGAGTTGCGTGGCAATAAATGCAAGAGTTGGCCAGCAGGGGAGGGGGCAGGAGTGACAGCGGAGGGCCAGTGCCAATGGTGAAGGGATCAACAATGAGTGGTGGCGATTGGGGAGTGGGCTGGGCTGATGAGAAAATTAACCCCTTCATTCAGATGGCTTTCTCGATATCATATATGTGAACACAAACATCTACCAAATGAATGCGACTTAACGGGAGGCTCCACCTCAACTGTCACCTGCAGTATAGTTAAGGGCAGCCAGTCTGGAAATAAATCTAGTGAATTCAAATTCATGAATTGCATTCAGAATTTCCAGAATTTCAAGCGAAAAACAACAACTCTTCTCATACCCAATGCAATTATAATATGAATCATGGTGTAAACTACTGTGAGGAAAGGAATAGTAAATTCAAACCACGGTGGAAGGAAGTGTTCAGGAATGCACATTCCAACTTAAATGTACCCATGGTCTTCATGCAATGGCATCCAAATGTGCAATGTCTGGTGCCCAGACATGGCAAGAGAAAACACTTCAGAGGGTGAAGCCTTCCCACGTTGTGGTTGATCGCACTCCACTTGACTATCTCCTCCACTCGACAGGCCAGTGACTAGCTCCAAAACACGCACTTTACATACCGACACTCAAGACTGATTTGACTTAAACCTCTATTTGAAGGAAAATAAATTCTCTCTTTAACCTTGACTGGCAATGCTCTCCAAACAGCAATGAAAATCCATCTACTTTCTGGTATACAAATCGATGTCTACTTCACAAAAACATCCACTTAAATCTAAAACTCTGGTTCTAAAATATCTCTATAATAGCTTTTGAAATAAATGGTTCAATAAAAATTACGTTTATATTTAGCAGATATAAATATGTACACGTGATACTTCTAAACATTAATAATTTGATTAAAACATAAAAAGACTTGGTTATTTACGCTTCAATAATGTACTCAAGTGGACATGCAGAACTGAGCTCATGTAATACTTGGGAAGCCATGCATTTTTGCCGGTGAGGTAGGGGGGGTTAATGCAACGGATGCTTTACCAAGAGCAGGTTTAACCAAATGCTACTGTCAGTTGTGTAAATAGTGTTGTTTTAACATGTGCCCAGGTGCATTAATCGGCTTGTTACACACGTCTATTACGATTTTCCGAGGTAAAATTTTCATTTCAAATGCTAATACTTCCTGAATATTTAAACCATGCATTTACACATCGAGACTTGTTATTATAGCTCAAGATGATTACCATGTCATCTTAGGTGAGAACTGATGAATTGGTTATTTATTTTGGTTCATAGAATATACAAACACCACCAAAAAGGGTGGCCTAAAGATGCGTGCTTTCATCTGGGCTCGCTCAAGTTCCATTGTAAATAAAGTGCGAGATCCCTCCCTGAAAATGCACAAGGTTACTAAAACAATTGCGAAATTCAATCCTTAATGTGGCTTTAAAATAGAAAATGGCACAACCTAAGAGTCCATAATTTGTCATGAAGACTAAATTATTTTGAATGTGAAATTTCTGATATTTTGATTATCCGTTCATTAACCTTCAACACATGCACACAGTTGTTATGTGTGCCAGGACTATATCGCTGGGCAAACATATCACAAAGTAATAAGTGGGATTATTCAAACTGAAATTTCACAAATTTAAATACCCTCAAACTCACTTCTAATATTTGTTTCAAGCCACAGACAAGCTTTGCACTATGCTTCAAACACTTGGGCAAATGTGTCCAAAAGAAATGTAAATTCAACAAAACCTCAAATTTAAAAAATGAACAGCATCCATTGTAATACTGAAAAATTGTCAGGCAGGAGAACAAAAAGAGAGCGTGTATTTAAGTGCCTGTCCGTCACTCTTGACATGCGTTATACATGAGGGGAGCTTACAGGTGTGGTACACACACCAGACATCAACGACTACTTCTGGAATGCAGCCTGGTGTGGCGACTGCAACATTTTGATAGGCCTACATCGGCTGCAAAAAGGACTTGTGATCAGTCTGCCACTATGTTGAATCCCAGCCATAGCCACCAGTAAATAAGAGTTTCAGCTCCCCTATCACAATGTTGTACGAATCACTGTGAGAGATTTACGATAATGTTCAGCTAATTAACTTTTGTTACTGGTATGAATGGCTTCCGGTCCTAATTTATTGCTAACGAAAGAGGTGTGAAAGC